AATAAATCCATTAATTCTTATAGAAAATATAATGATTCCCTCAGGCCAGTGTTGTGATTCTCACTAGGTGACGGTCATTTTACGCATCGGTCTTCTTTAAGCATCTGTCGCATACAAGAATTTTACGAGAATTTTTTAATAGGATTATTTTGTTCTTATTCTTTACTTTTTACGCTCCTTGTCATTCCGAGGGAATTTTAGAACTCTTTACCGTCGATTATTCTTTATGATACTGAGCTGCCTCTCTACGCTATCAAATAATTGAACTCACGGCTTTCTAGAACCACTTTGGATATTCAAATTCTGAAATTTTGAAACCTCAAAAGCAGCAAATAAATAAATTGTTTCAGAAAATCAATTTATTTGTGGTAATATAATAATAATAATAATAATAATAATAATAATAATAATAATAGGTAAAATATGAGTGATATTTTTTTCTTCAAAATTGCTGAGTGGAAAATGTCATGATGCCATTTCTGAGCTTAGGTCTCTGGTCGGGAACCGGAAAAAAATGAGTACACACCAGAAATGAAAGTAAATAAAACAACAATAATAATAATATTCGACTACAGTCACTTTCTCACCGACGTGACGTGGCTTCCCTCTGTCTTTTCTACAAATATTTTCATGGCAACTGCTCAGACGAGTTTTCTTTCCTGGTGCCCCGACCACATGATTTTAAGCGTGCTAGTAGATTGCCAATTAGGTATCATCGTTTTATTGTTGAACTAGCTCGATGCAAACGCCACTTCTACTCTAACAGTTTCTTTTCTCGCACTTCCCACCTGTGGAACTCCCTGTAGAATTATTGCTTCGCTGACAACTACAATCTTCAAAAATTTAAATGCAACACCAATCGCCATCTTGAACCCTGTTTTTTTTTTTTATTCTTTCTTCAATCTTCTCCCTCCTCAGTATTCTCATTCTCTTTCACTTTCACTCCCTGTAACATCCTGCGTTCTAGTGGCTTGGGGTGAAATTTAAAAAAGAAATTTAGACAGAAAATAATATATTGAATTATCTTACTTTTTTTTGTCTGTAATTCCTGTAATTTTTTTTTTCCTATACTCGAGTTATCTTCATTGCGATGACGAGGCTTTGTAATATTTTTATACTAGTGTTCTCTCCCACACAGCGAAGACACCAGGTAACTGTGTATTTGTTATGACAATAGTGAACTATGTGAAAATGCTTACGAAGTCACGAAGGAAAATGATCGACTCTATGAAAGAGCAAAGTGCAAAAATAATAAATAAAAAAATATACGTAAAATGGCATCATTTTCATAATATAAAATATAAATACGAGGGAGTCCTATAAAATGCGGTAAGTGGCACGTTTCTTCATTCTTTATTTTCAGAGATATTGCTAGATAATGCACTACGTAATATTAGTATATATTTTTTGTCTGCAGTGTCTGTAGCTTTTAACGTCGCCAGTGCAAGAGAGATAAATAACTTTATCACCTTTGCATTGGCAACCTCAGCTGACAAGTGTCATTTTTTATGACAATGGTGGACCGTTAAAAATATTTACGAAGACGGGAGGAGAAAAGATAAACCCTATCAAAGAGTAGAGTATAACAGATATAATTGAAAAAATATATTTAAAACGTACCCGTGAAAACCTAAGAATGAGAATGATTTAACAAAATATATCATAATTTTGTAAGACATGGATAAACATGTATAATAATAGATTTCAAATTAAATGTTCACTTATCTGTGCCTACTCTGAGTTTCGCAGAGATTACAATCTATTAATTCATTATTATTTTATTTATTTATTTATTATTATTTTTTGTTATTCTTAATGATATATCTCTTGATAGTGTGCACTTTAATTATAAAGACTACTTACCTTTGAAGCGTTATTTCCCCAGAAATATCTCGATCAACCGTTTTTTTTTTTGGAAATACAGTTTTTGTTATTGTTATTAATAATATATTTTAAAATATTGTTATTAATATTTCAAAGATATAATTGATACTGATATAAGAGCATAAAGCCACTATGGTTATGTTTCTGTTTCGACAATACTGTAATCTGATTTCAGTGCCTACTGTAGATAGATAGAATCTCAAAGCGAAATAGATATAAATCTGGTTTCGTAGACAGTTTGTTTGCATTGGGAATTTGATTCTCACTGGGTGGACCCATTATTGTATTTGGTAGATTTAGTAAATATCCACGACTTCCTGGTTTTCTTGAAAAAAAAAAACAAAAAACACCCGAATAATTCATTGTGGATTGATATTTCACGTCGGAATTTCAAATATTCTAATTTGTTTTTTCTTCTTTACGTGCCGTAGCTCCTTCGGACGTAGGCGATCATGGCTTTCCACAACTTCCTGTCTCTTGTAGCGTTTTTATAAACACTGTCTTTCTGTTATTTCTCCTAAACCCTGCCCCGTCATCCATTTACTCAAGCTAAGTATGTTATACGATCTTTTCCTCTGTCCCTCTTGCTCTCTATCTGTCCCGTGAGTGTCAGATTTTCTAAGCCCTCCTTCCTCATTATGTTCCCCAGAAATATCAACTGTCTCTTCCTGATGCTAAGTATTAGTTTCTTTTTCATTTTCATTTTCTCCAAAATTTCGTCGTTACCCAGATGTTCGGCCCACTCTATCCTCAGTATCCTTCTGTAGACCCACATTTCTGTTGTTTCAAGTCTCCTCTTCATCTTTAAGTAGATCGTCCAGCACTCACTGACATATATAAGGACAGATATCACGTAGCAGTTTAGTATTCTTTTCCTTGTTTCTAGCGAAATTTTTTCTATTTCTTAGTACTCTGCTTAGCTTTTGGATTGCTTCTTTGACTATCCCAATACGCCTTCGGATTTCCGCCGTCTGTTAAAACACTTCCCAGATATTTAAATTTCAGCCCTTATTTGATTTTGGTCTCTCCGATTTCCAATTCGCACTTTGGTCTCATCCTTTTTTCTTAACAACCAAACATTATGTCTTCTGGCAGTTGATCTTTAATCCTTTCTTCTCGCTTTCCTTCACTACCTTCTGTGGTTTTTTTTAGCTCTCTTTCTATGCCTGCTATCAACACTGTCATCTGCATACCATATGATGTTAAGATTGTGACCGCTAATAATGAATCCTGGTAGAACTTCTAGTTCTTCCGGAGTTGCCTCCCTCTCTAGGTCTGAATATGTCCGGTGAAAAGACACATCCTTGTCTTACACCCACTTCTATGTTTCTATATCTGCTGAACTCATTTTCTATATGTATGCAGGCAGATTACTGCCAGTTTAAGTTCAGTATTAGATTATTCTAATATCTCTTTCAAATATATAAAGGTTGCTAAGTTCTTCCAACAGATCTTTATCAAACACTTTTGTGTAATCTATAAAACACAGGTAGACGTCCTTCTGCATTTGTATTGCTCTTTCGGATAAATTCTGAACCAAAATATCGCGTTTCTTGTTTCAGTGTCTTTGACGAACCCGTACTGTTCTTGTCTTATTTCCAGACTGATTCTGCTGCGTGCTCTATTCAGCAGAATTCATATGATCAGTTTCGTTATATGGCTAATTAAGTTGATTGTTCGATGGAGCTCGCATTTGCTTGCACCTGGTTTTTTAGGCTATGAAAATAAATCTACTTAGGTGTTCTGGTATATCACCACTGTTGTAGATTTCAATTAATTTGTTTACATATTTAAAATTTATTGGGAAGTCAATTTATTCATTGTTAATAGAATAACACCCTAAGTCGATCTCTGGTCTTTAAATATAAGACAGGAGTGGCTGTGTCCCGGTCACTGTATGCCCGACGTAAATTCTAACTGTTAATCACAATCCGCAGCATTATAGTTCAATGACGGATGCTAGAATTGGGCGTGGTTCATCCCCGCCACCATCGTATCGTCTAGTGGAAATCTTCCTTTACGTTGTGTACCTTTTAGGATGAAATATTCATATCAACAGGTCGTAGCTTAGTTTTTGTGGTAATTCATCCAGCGATGTTTCGATCCTAGCGTCTTCCTTAATTCGATCGACTTTCCTGAAAGGCAGGAATTCTCTAGCAGAAAGGAAAAACTCTGTTGATAAAGCTATCAACAATTTATTAATGATGAGAAAATATAAACGCTACAGACATCACACTCATGTAGTTCGACTTCAGTAAGTTCTATTCTTGCCTGTTGTTAGAAAATTCGACGAAAACAGACGGCAGCGTTTCCATATGCTGCCTAGCGTGACTCTCCGTGACTCTCTATCTTCGTCTGCTGTCTACATCTAAGGTCTGCTTAAAAATGGCGCTTGTATGCTCTTATAAGGGTAACGCTTCCAACAAAAATTTCGCACAAAGACCCTCTTTGTTAAAGTAATTCCTATTGGTATTGTTAGTGACTTATTCTTCTAAAATACCAAAAGACCAGGCATTTTGATAATATTTCTGTGTACGATTTGCTACATGGGATGCTCAATAAACATTTTCCAGGTCTGTCTGGGTTTTGCAGAATTTAAGTAAAATATATTAGTGACGTCATCGGAGGGCTTGTGGATCTAGGCGGATATATTAGTTATAATGGATTTTACTGAATCTTAATGAGTTTGTTTTAGGTTCAAATCCGCCCGATGCCTTTCTCATAAGTATTTTGTAGCTTCAAATTAATATTTCTAACCTGAACTTTTTCTCATCAGGTTTCAAACTTATTAACAACTTTCCCATATTTTTATTCACCTAATATCTCTATTCCTTCACCCAGCATTGATTGATTCATTTTTACGGCTTATCACACATTTTCAGGTTATTTAAAGTCAGAAAAAACTTTTAGATTGTAAGAATTATTTTTTGTTGGTAATAATGCTTTAGCGATACAAGTCTGAATAATTAATCCATAGGTAGGGGACAGGAAGTATATTCATACCTTTCCCAAGGGTATTTGTGTATGTGAATATAACGAACCGAACGGGAATTGGAACTCGGCTCTCCGATTTCCAGTTCCTTGCCATTATCGATTACACAACCCACGCATACAAGATTACAGTACCTTGTATTCCGAAGCGTTCACCCATCTAGGTACTGACCAGGTCTGACGATGCTTAACTTCGATGATCGTACGGGAACCTGTGTTTCAAAGTGATGTGTTCATAAGCCTTCGTTCAGGATTACGAAGTCTCTCAATACATCATCTACTTAAACAATATTTCATGCACAAATATAACTCAGTAACGGCCAATGGTCTTTTACAAAAGAATATAGGAAAAACAAAACAGAACAATAGACAAAGGTGTAGAACATTTTTATAACCGATATTACAGTTTATATTAAATAAATATGGACAAAATTTGATATGTATCCTACTTGATTCAGTTATGTTGCATTGTTTTCGAAGAAACGTCATGAGACTGTTTTTATAGAGTTCCGTCATAAAAACAGCGTTTCTAAATCACATCAAATGCCTTATAATCTACCGACAAAATTGAAGTGTACTGAATTTTTAATAATGTTTTAATAATGTTTTAAATATGGCTGACAAAAAGAAAATATATTAATACATAAAAAAAGATTAACTCACACATTCGGGTACATCATTCACACTATCATTGTCCGCAAATACCAGAAGTGAACATTCATACATGATAATATTGATGAAATGTTACCAGTTTTGAATCATGGATAGGCGTTCGTTTTCTTTTTGTTATATTTGTACATCATACATATCAGTAGCAGCGTGTAGGTTCCACTGTATCTACTTATTATGATGCTTTCGTTGTAATTAAAAGTTTCCTCAGGGGATTGAGTTGGCCATCTCCATTTACTGAGATACCAGGTCTGACCAAAACTTATCGTGACTAGTGCTATAAAAAGAAAGCTACAACACATATCAATTCGGCATTTAATCTCCTTCGAAGTATTCCACTTCTGAAGCCACACATTTTATCTACCCAGCGTCGTTTCCATTGATGGAAGCATTTCGAAAATTTCTTTTTTGAGGATACCGTATTCTCTTGGATTTCCTTGACGTCTTGAAATCATGTTCTTTTCAAGAGGGATTTAATTTTTGAAGAGGGAAAAAAGTCTTAAATGGCTATGTTTGTGGAATATAGTGGTTGTCGGACCCTAGGAATGTTGTTCTTGACCTAAAACCGCTGCACAAGCCATGCTTACTGATGGAAACTCTGTAGTGTAATAAGATGACCACACTCTACACACTTTCCTTCCAAGCATTGCTATAAACAAAGGAAGTGAGCGAGAACGTTATAACGCGACAGAGTTTAAGGTTAATCTAAACGTGACTTTCTCCAGCGTATTTTAGCTCCATTACCATAGCAACAGACCCGATACTTTTTTTTTATTAGACCTCGTCTCGGAAAAGAATATGTCGAAATAGCATCGCGATTTATGTTGTTTTGGGGCCATTAGAATGCACCACATATCCGTTTACTGATAATCGCTTAGCAATATTGCGAAGAAACATTTCCTTAGCTTTGAACTGTTTGAAAAAGCAGAGAATATACACATTTATATACAAGCACATAATATAAGTATTTAATCATCATTCCACTATGATATGTGGCACAAGAGGGGAACAAAAATATCCAGGCAAAATCATCAGAGAATAATCTTTAATCTTGTCTCTTTGAAACAGATAAGGTAGGTACTACTTAGTAGAAGAATAGAAATTGCTTTTTTTTATCCTTTCAGAAGTGGGAAACCACCCAGGAAAATCAAATACCAGCCATCAATCTTGAAGCCTTGGTCAGAATTAATCATTTTATCCCAAAATGAAATTTATGAACCAGCAACCACCGAAAACTTTTCAGAAAATGAAATTGAAGCATCTCTTATAAATAACATAAAATTAGAGTTGCCTGAATTTCTTTCACATTCTCAGTGTTAAAAGAGCAGTGATATTAACACCTGAAGTTTCTCATGTTGTTTACAGATTTGAAGACGGCCATAGTCACATTCTTACAACAAACCATTATTTTGACATGACCTTTCTTTGTTTCTCAAGGCTGTTACACTGAAAATTTTGATTATATAATTATATAAATATTTGGACTGAATTAGTTTTCATATAATTTACTAAAATAACAAACTTTTTTTTTATTTACTGTTGAAATAATAACATTTTTCAATCAAATTATCTAGTGTCGTCCTGATTACTCTTTCCTCTTCCCGCTCATTATTAATGTTTCTGTTCCTAATTCTTCCACACCCTGGAACCCTTGTGTCTTACTGGATTTACTGTCTTGCATGGGGTGAAACTGATTAAAAAGTAAAAAAAATGCAATGTCAATCGCTATCTACTCTCCTCCTGATTATTATTTTTTTCTCTTCCCGCTTAGTATAAATGTTTCTCTTCCTAATTCTTCCACACCATGTAATCCCAAGTCTCTTAGTGGCCTCATTAACTCGCATGGGGTGATACAGATAAAAAAAAAAATGCAAAAAAGAATGGCTTTTTAAACTCATTTTCTTGATTGCCCCAAAAGGAGGTTAAAGCTAGGAATCTAGAATTTATTTCATTAAGTCCAAACTATCTATCATCGTTCAAAGTTAACTTAGGAAAAAGTGTAAAATCGACCAGCCTTACTAGGCACGCACTTATAACATATTTCCTGGTCTCGAAATAGTATAGATTTTGTCAATTCTCATCCAGGTAAGCATAATGAATGCATATAATACAAGCATAAAATAAATAATACAGGACTTGATGAGCAAGAGGCAAGCAAAGGATGAGTAAGGGTCTATCTGAAGAAAATTAGAAAAATTTATTTAGTATTTAGAAAATTGTTGTTAGCGACAAAAATCCTCATTACAATCTTAATGGATGATTTGAATGGCTACTGGGGACTTGGTGCAATGTTTTGAGCGGCCAAAGAAAAAAATTCTACATTATTCATAGTTTCACACCTTTTGTGGATTAACATTATCACCTTCACCTATACAACACCGTTCGGTAAATTCAATCTTTATAGTTGTTTTTAAGTGATCTATCCTTAAATACTTTTTAATATATAATAAAGTTTGCCAATACAAGTGTCGAAAACCACACATTGTACAGCGTTACTGTTAAAATGTTTATGTCGAATTGTATTATATGAATGAAAGTGAAGGTGGAAAGAGAAGATTATGAAGATAAGACGGATAGATAACGATTGACCCTTGACTTGAAGAAATTAAGATTTAAGTATACATGTAATCATCCATGTGGGAATTTGTTCCCCAGTGGAGCCGTTCTTGGGAAAAAAGCTGAGTAGGGCTTTCTGCTTATATATGGGACATGGGAGAAGTGAGGGTTATTCGGCTCCGTAGAAGTAGTATGGTATGTCCTAGCTGTAAATATCTGAACTGGTGGAACTAAAGAATAGAGGTCAACTGGACATTTGCCATGGAAATAGCTTAGATTGAGTAGCGATAAGCTTGTGACGTTGCGTCTGTGTGAAAGAGGCAGCAGGTGTACACAATAATATGTATGTTAATGAATCTTCTCAAAACTGTAGATAATATATCTTCACCTTTGTTTTTTTTTACAACACTTCAGTCGATATGTTCTTCGTCCTTCATCAAGGATATGTTGCATACGGTGGTTTTAAGAAGTTGTTATTTATTTTTTCTTGCTCTTGTTGAGGAGATATCAAAGAAGAAAAGATACTGATAGACCAACAAACATATGCATATCAAAGGAAAGCTGAAGAACGTATCGGCCAAAATTCTGGAATAAAAATAACAAAGATGAGGGTACAAGATTGAAAATATGTCTAATAATGGAAATAGTTAATGTCATAAATTCAGACAACTATTAAGTTCATAGTTCACTCACCTAAATGATAGCTAAAGGCAGAAAATATTTTGGCACTCCTGTCAAGGTTGGCAATGGGTATTACTGGCTGGATGTTAGCTATAAGAAACTGTTGTCAACCTCTCCCTTGTTCATTTTGAGCTTGCAATAGGAAAGAGTTTAGGGATATGATTCATGCTTTTCCAAGATTGCTCAACTGCTATCGACATCAATCCCCTCCTACATGACAACAAATGCTGGGAAATTTTCTCAAAGACGAAGAGGAGACGAAACAACAGAGATCTGGTTCTACAGAAGGATGCTGGGTATACCATGGAGGGAGCATGTAAGCAAACAGTAAGTTTTAAGAAAAATAGAAACAAAAATGATACTTTGAATCACAAAGTGACAGTTGAAATTTCTGGAGCACATCATGAGGAAAGAGGGCTTGGAGGATTTGAAACTCATAAGGTATATTGAAAGCAAGTAAGGTGGAGGGAAACGGCAAGTTACCTACCTAACGAGCTTGTGTAGATGGATGACAGAACGGAGAGTTGGGGGGAGGATTGTAAAAAGACAAAAGTTATTGAGAGCTACTAAGGATAAGAAGTTGTGGAGAGTCATGATCGCCAACGTTGTGAAGAGACACGGCAAATAAAAGAAGTACTAAGTGAACATAAACAGTATTAATCGTAGTTCGTCTTTTTGATTACTTTTTTTTCCAGTTATGCTACTTCTCATCTCGGAAATAATCAATAGTTACAAACTTCCACCGAACTACACGAAAATTTCACCGAAGCACAAAACATTCTAAAGATAAAAACGTACGCGACAGTAAAAAGAAATAACACACTATTAATTTCACGTGATTTTTTTTTCATAAAGCAACAGCATTTCTTCGTTAAAAAAATACATTTACACAAGTTCTCTATCGATGGATAGTTCAAGATAATTTACCAGATCAAGTATTTTTCGTTTCTTACAATTTCTTAGCCTCACATTTTACTGTATACTGATCTCGTTCTGTCCTCTTTTCATTTTCTCTTATTAACATTATTTTATTTAGTGTTGTCAGTAAGTATTGAATGTTCGTTATTTGCCTTGAATAAAACCGCTCTGAAGCTGTCTTACTTGAACTGCTTTTATCGACTGACTTCAGAGTTGACGTATTCATGTGATAAGATATGATGACCAATCATTAATTTACTTGGTGAAATATCGTCAGAATTCTATTATAGTTTCATTATCACTTCCCCAGTTACTACATTATTTTAATCCAATTAACAATCAAAAGTTTTAATCACATTTCTGTCTATGAATCCGTTACAATTGCAAGGAATGGTAAGTTTATGGTAAGTGAATCAGATTTTATTGAGATCTTGCTGCGTCATCTAAATCTGTGACCTCTTTCATTTGATCCTCTGACCCAATGGCTAATCCGATTCGATATGCCTCTGAAACCATTAAACCATTGGTGTCGGATTAAAAGACCCTGGACCCTGAAGACGAATTAAAGCGTCTATTAAGAGCTACAGAACTACAAATAAGCTAACTTCACGGAAGAGACAATAATGAGGAAAGAAAGCTTCAAGAATTTAACACTCACCGCGCATGTCGAATGCAACAGAAGCAGAAGAAAAATGATTTAAGCTAGTTGATAGGTTTGGACACAATGACAAAGAAGGGTCGTCAAGGAACAAGCGTAGCTGAAATCAACAACAGAAAGGAAGATTTGGAGAGTGATGATCGTCCACATCTTAACAGTCATGGCGAGTGCACACACACACACACACACACACACACACACACACACACACACACTGTTTTCTATATCCGGCTTTCTAACTAATATGGTGTAATATCAGATTTTCTCTTTGTCGTGTTTCTTATTTAGGACAGTTCACGATTTTGTAATGAGGGATATGTAGCCCCGGGATTTTCTAACCCTGTGGGAACACCTCCCTCATTGCACTGAATAAGAGAGAATTGGTGTTCACGGGGACTGGGCACATTTTATTCTTGGCACATATGTATGTGTATGGGCACCCACGTTGAACCGACCACGTGTTACGCTTTGTCAACGTAAGGTGGGGAGCAGGTAAATACCTCCACAGGTAAATACTTTTTACAATTAGTTTGATTTCAGATTTCAGACAACTTACTTAAAAATCCCGTCCTGGGTATTACAATAAACTACATCCGGTAGCAAGGCCTCTGATCGTGAGGTATTGAGGAGCGTTGAACCAAGTCATGTTGTTCCCAGATCCACCCTGGCCCGGGGTAGTAGCCCCTGTCACAGTTATGGGTAAATAGTTAACCCCCCCAGACCTGGATCAAAACACTATGAAAGTATAAACATTTTTATAGTAAAAATACCAGCAATACATTTTCATAGTAAAAAATTACCAGTAAAACATTTTTACTAAACAAATTACTAATGCTCACAAGAAAATTAAATTTCGGCATTAAATGACCCATAAGAAGTTGATATGCCGCTAAACAAACAAGAATACATACAAAGATACTCGAAAATCTGTAGAATTTCACTGGTGGCGGATGTTGAATGAAAAAACTAGCATAATTATTTAGTGTGCATGAGAGTTATTGTAGTGATTATATAAAGTATTGATTAAATTCAAGTTTCCTTAAGCCCAACGTAAACGAAGCAAATATAGAATAAATTGTAGATAGAAAAATAAAACAAGTACAACATTTTAAATATCTGAGAAGTGTGTAAATTTTTTGTATTTATTATACTATCATCAATTTGCAGTAATGTTGACTCATGTTGAAGAAAGATATTCTCTTCTTGGGTTGGGGGATAATATATAATATATAATATATATATATGTGTGTGTGTGTGTGTATGTGTGTGTGGGGGCGAGATAGTGTCTAGTGAAGATATTTTAGTCACATGAATTTTTTTTCGAAGAAGAGACAATGTAGTGATGGTAGTGTATCGTATTCAACGCGTAGTTCCTTGACGGCTAAAATGTTCCCCCACCCCTGGAGGGAAAGAAAGACACGTTCTGTCTCTACGACATCCTGACTAGTGCATCATTGACTTTAACACTTGATAATTTTTTCTTTTCTTAGCTTTAGTAATTTTCTTCACGAATAGACTAAAAATATTTTACGCGAAGGAAAAATATTTGATGATTAAGCGCAAAGTTTGGCAGTGTTTAACCTAAAATATGTTTTAGATTGAATATCGATAATTGCTAAACGTTACTTATTGTAAATGAGGAAAAATGAGCTTTTCAGTTGTCAAGAACTCATGTGTCAGTCACAGAATAGGTCTTAAATTCCAAGAGTTATTCGGATTATTAAATGCATTTTTTGCGTTACTTCTGCTCTTAGCATAACGTTTCATTTGAACAATTGTACAGCCTTCTTCCAGTGTACAATCTGTAAGGAAAGGATGTTTTTTGACTGTTGTCTGTCTAGAGGATACTTTCTTTCGTTGCTTTTTTGTACGGTTAAAAAAGGCCGTAGAATATTTTGGTGACAAAGTCAGTACAGATACTGAGTCCAGTCGCCTGAACAATTCATGAAACGATGGCGACTCTTCTCAAAATTATAAAAGAAATTCAATATGTATAATTTAAATGTATTACTAATGATTTTACAATAGATACACATTATTTTACTATAGAAATACATTTGAAATTAGGCTTACGGTAATATCACAGTGAAACACTGGTTCCTGTACGAACATTGAAGTTAAGCAACATCGAGCCAAGTCAGTACCTAGATGGGTGACAGATGGGGAATACTAGCTACTGTAAGCTTAGATGTGTGGGTGGTGTAATGGATTATGGACCGGAATTGTTAATCGGAAAACCGAGTTTCAGTTTTCGTTCGGTTCGTTATATTAACTTACGCGCAAATGCCATCTTGAAAAGTATGAATCCACCTGTTCTTCCCCAGCTATAGGTTAATTAATAAGACTTGTAGCACCAAATCCCTATTAGCGGAAAAATTCTTATAATTTAAAAGTATTTATGGCTTTAAATAACCTGCATAGATTTGGTAAGCCGCAGAAAACGAATCAATCAACACTTGAAATTAGAAACAGATTATCGGTCTTCAGGAATTAGTGCCAGCGTTGCTGATAGAATGTGGCTATTATATATATAGGTTAAATGTACTGATAATATTTTATTATAGAAAAGATTTGTATTCTACTGTAGAAATCCATTGAAAATTAGCTGAAATGTTACTGATTTTGGTCAGGAATTCATACAAGCGTTACTGATAAAAGAGGGTTATTACGTGGATTTAAATTTATTGCCGACGATTTTATTATAGAATCGCTTTTAACATTATCTTACTATAGAAAAACATTGAGCATAAAGAATAAAAAAAAAATCTTTTCAGGAATAAAGGCAAGTGTTACTGATAGAATGAAGTTATTATATTTTTATATTGCTGATTAACTTATGATAAAATGTTATTCGTTTGAGAATTTGTTGTTAGAGTTTTCAAAAACCGTAAATGGCAGAAAGGAAAAAGAATATTAAGAAAGGAAGGAATTGCGAATTCAAGACAAATTAACGATAAAAATAATGCACTCTCCTTCAGCGTCTATTGAACAGGAGTAGGGGTTTATTCCTTGTTTCCTGTTTAGGATAGGGTTATCGGTTCCTTCAAGTTTTTTCTCATTCTCTTTTACCCCCAGTAACCACTTGCGTCTTAGTGGCATTATCGCCTTGCTTGAGGTGAAATGACTAAAAATTAAAACTAAAGCGACGATAAGAATTTCGTGAGTATCCTTTCGAATATTCGTATAAACTTAATCCTAAATGACACATTCACTTCATTTGCAAGCACACTCTATTGATGCCCAGTTGATATTGTAATTCATCTTCGCAATCACAAGACGACAACTTCATTCATAAATATGTAACCCATTGCATTATCCAGTAAATACAGGGTGCGGCACAAATACCTCCAACATTTTATATCGACACCTGTGTGGTGCTAGTGTAGTCTTCATCTAGCTAATGTCTTACCATTATGTGGGAGGTATTTCGTCCGCACTCTGTACAACCGCATCATTTACACAACAAATAATCTTCTTCACAGCCTCACTAGCAACGTCAGGTACTTTCATGTTAATAAAACGCTTCTTGGTAGACAAGGTAATGACAAGATACCTTCTTTAGTTGCTTTTGATTGTACGGCTAAAAAAAAGGCCATAGAAGAGATCGACCGAAATGTTTTGGCAACAAACTTAGTACAGAGACGGAATTCAATCGCCTGAACAATTCTTGAAGCGATGGCGTCTCTTCCCCAAATTATAAAAGGAATTCACTAATTACTGGCAACATTCTTATTTAAAGCTTTGTAAATGCCTCTAATTGCTATAAAGATTTCACCATCAGGGCATTTAATGTGAGAGGACCCGTTAAAAATGAAAAGCAGGAATTATTGCCTCGAGACGTTGATAGTTTTAACATTGATTTATGTTATCTCCAAGAAACCAAAATCAAAGGAATTTATATTAATATTGGAGTTAGACGATCCAAGTTAATAGTTTTGAAAACAATAAATATTAAGGAAATGGTTTTATCATTCATACCAAACGGAAGAATAATATCAGTAAATGTTAGACAAACAATCATAGTATACACATCGGACAATGATATTGGAAAAATTATCAGTAGTATCCTATCATTCCCCGTCAACTTTTGAAGAGCTACGAAGACCTGCAGCACTTTGATGTGTTAAGTAAGGACGTGGAAATTGGGAGAAGACTGCTTTATTAGTTATTTACAAGGTTGCTGAAGATGAGAAATCAAACTGATTTGCAGCAAGCCTTCAAGTAAAAAAAAAAGGCTACCATGAGATGATGATGATAATATACGCATGAAAAGCAGTCATTAGGTTTCTTTTTACAGATCGTCACTTATAAACTTCATTTGTGCAACTGGATCATATATTAGAACCAACCGTTTTTCTTTTAAGATTTTGTTTTTCCCGAAACGACTTCACGTGTTTGACAGGTAGGCTATACATTTGGACTTCTCAGAAATGAGTCAGGTTTCGTTACTCAAACGATATGTCTCTCTCATCCTTACCGACCACAATATAACGGGAGAAGAGCTTGAGAACGAAACGACAAGACGACATCAGCAAGATGCCAACAACAGTAATAAGAACGACAACTTTGACAATTTGCATTTCACTGATTTTCACTTGCTCTAATATCGTCTGGTTGGCAGAAGATGTGGGGGAGTTCAGTATGAAATCGCTGGCGTTAAGGGACGATATGTTTAGATCTTGATAGGAAGAATTCCACAGATCCGCTGCAGTCCTGGAAGACAATGTCGTTGGCTGCGGCGCAGTCGTCTGCAAAGACCCACCTTCCAACACTCGATGGCATAACGGCATTTCGTAATAAAGGCGTAAAAAACAAAACAAAAAGATCTAAAACCTAAAAGATATCTGATCGATCTCTTAGGTTAGGTTCAATGATTTTAAGACATGTGGGTCGACTTTCATATGAGTCACCCAGCAAAGATTAAACTCACAACCAATAGTCAACAAGATTAAATAGCCTCGTCATCCATTACGCCACGCCCTCTGGTCGCTCCGCTGGGCATGTACCATTGAATCTTTTAATTAAAAAAAAAAGAAGATTCAAATTTCATTTTAAAATGTATACTATTTTTCATTAATTATATTATTAAATGAAACATTTTGCAACTAATCTTATTTTCATTGTAATCAATCAAGGTTTGAAAAAAGTGCGAAGCAAAGTTTTTAAAAATTGTTCAATTATGTATTTGTTTTATTTCTGCATGTGATTGTAAAACGTTTAGATCACATTAAAATGATTATTTTCTTGTAACTAATACATAATTGAATCGATTTTCCAGATATTATTTTAAAATCTTTTTTGTACATTTATCGTTTTCAAGAGCAATTATTTGCATTTAAAGTTAATGCTTACTATGCGCTAAATTTATGAAAATACCTCAAATTAAATAATCGCAAATATAGTTTTAAACAATACTCTAAAATATCTGACATAAAGACTTCATTACTTATTGATCTCGTTAAACAATAATTCCAGAAAAAAATGTGAATCATTTCAAGGACATCGTTAATTTGATTAAATAACAACTTAGCGATAGAATTCAATCATCCTCTCTTCAGAACAAATTCATTGTTTCAGTTACATTGGATGAATAATGTACAGTCACGTTATCTAATTCCAAATTTGAAGATCGATATTTTTAATAATATAAAATGTATTTTTTTTGCTTCATATTTTATGTTACTTTTTTACAGGTAATATTTGAAGGATTTTTTCTTCTTATTCAGCTGAAGTTCGCATGCTCGGAATATCAGTTTTGTTTTTCGATAGTTGTTTTCAGATCGATCTGTTTTCTCGAATTCGTTATATAAGACTCACTCTGTCAACAACTGCGTTGTTTCGATCAATCGTTTTCTTTTACCCCGTGTCTTTATGTCTGTTATCAGGCTTTTTCGTTTGTTATTTAAAATTAGTCGAACAGCTGCTGATTTCTACCGTTTTGCAAGTCGGTGAAAATGTTCGGTGACGTTTTCGAAAGTATCCTTTTTGACATCGTCGAGATATGGTGCAAAAAACTGTTTTAACTTTGTATTCTGGAACCATTTTTTTTTAAATGTCAGACTAGCTCAAAGACGACATCTGGTCATCGATTGAATGCTTTCCAACAACATCAGTCAGTTGCTTGTTTTTGCTTCTCCTTCGGTCTGTAAAGAAAAAAAAAAAGAAAGAAAGAAAATAAACTTTTCTTTTTATTATTCTATGGAAACAATAAGAACTGATAAAAATGCCTGAAGCATCGCTAAAATAGTTGCATAGAATAACGGGTGTTTATATTCGAGGCAGGCCGATCATTATCTCTTTGAAGTTTGGCGCGACACAATCATATCTTCATAAATCTTCCCTCTTAAATATCCATATGCCACACTAAGATAAACATAATTAATATAAGTAAAAACTGGTAAAATAAATAATTACATTTATCTATTAAGGAGAGCCTACAAAAGGACGATGCGTTTTTCTTTTTGTTAAAATCATTTCTTCCCAAGCAAGGCGATAATGCGACTAGGGCACAAAGGTTTACTGGGAGTGAAGGAGAATGAGAAGACTTTAGTGAGAAGAAGTGAGGAGGATGGTCAATAAAAAACAGGGTTCAAGAAAATGGCGTTTGGCATTGCATTTAAATCTGTGAAGATTGTAGATGGCAGGAAGCAAGAAATCAGAAGAGAGTTCCACAGACAATAAGTTCGAGGAAAGAAACTATTAGAATAGAACATACGGTTCGCATCTACACAGTTCAAAGTGAGAGCGAGTTGCCAATCTAGTAGCACGCTTAAATTCATACAGTCGAGGCACCAAGCAGGAGAGCTTATCAGAACATTTGCCATGAAAATATTTGCAGAAAAGACAAATGGTAAGAAAGGGACTGAAGTCGAGTTGACAAGTCAAGAACGCTTATATTACGGACCCTTCTTTGAATTTTGTCAAGAATCTCAAGATATATAGCAGAAGAATCAGACCAGATATGGCAGCAATATTCAATGAATGGACGAATGATAGCTATATAAATGTGAAAGATGGATTCCGACGAGAAAAAAGAATCTGGCACAACACAGTGAATCAACTTTCCTAGCAGTAGACCTAGCAATTGAAATCAATAAAATCACCCCATTCATGTAAGTGGAAAACGTGAGCCCAAGAAGGCGTAAAGTATTGCTCTTCTGGAGGTAAACATTAGCGATGCAAA